CATTTGGGACTTCGAAAAAATTGAGTTTTTATTCGTTTACTTGTATGAGCCAACACAAGAAGAATTTAAAAAAAAGGAGATAAAACAAGATTAACTTATTGGATAATAAAAGTTTGATGACCAAGAAATGTTGTTACAATAAAAGGACTTGGAGTTATTGGTAGATTTGATATAGAAGAAGAAAACAAGAAGCAAAGACAATTATTTAGTCGTACAAGCTTTTGACATAGACATTAAGTGATGATTAATGTCAAAAGCTTGTACAATTATCTAGTCCGCATAGATGGTTGAAATAACAAGTCTTACTCTTCTCAAATATTCTTGCATTTAATTGCTCTTTTCTCAATTTTTTTTTTTTTGGGTTTATTTAAAAATTATTTCAAGCATCTTGAAATTCTACTACATGCAATTATCTTCATGGAAAACTCTATTATTTCCTTTTCGGTCTTTCGTTTTCTTTCTCCTTCTTTTTAAGTAGGCGTTTGGACATAAGAATTGTAAAATTCAAAAAAATGATGAAAATATTTTTCAAGTAAAAATGATATTTGAAATTTAGAGTTAGTGTTTGAACATAAATTTTAGTTTAGGTTGTTTTTGAAGTTTTGTGAGTGATTTGAGTGAATTTTGAAAAACAGTTTTTTTGCAGTTTTTCAAATTTTCAAAAATTTCCAAAATGCATCTTCAAGTGAAAATTTTATGAACAAACACTGATTTCGAAAAAAAGTAAATTTTTTTTGAAAAAATCTTCAACCAGATTTTATGTCCAAACGGGCCCTAAGAGTATGCGCTTCAATTCACATTTTCCTTTACAGGGATTGGCCATATGATAAAACACAACCAGTGTTAGGGGTTGTTTGGTTACAGGGATTAGGGGTTATCCCAATATAAATTTGGGATTAAATTTGATCGTGAGTATTAGCTAAAATCAAAATAAAATTTATAACAAAATCATGGGATTATCTATCCCATATCGAATGTGGGATTATCTATCCTGGTTAGGATAACCTAGTTTTGAACCAAATGACGTATTGTACCTTTGTCTTTCTTGAGCTAATGCTTCATAGAAGTATGTGTTTATGTAATTAGGATTAGAATTTAGATAGAGAACTTAATTAACGAGCTTTTCATCGGGGGAATATATATAGAGAGAGATACATATATAAAATTATTGTTTCCCCTAGACATATAAAAAAACTAATTAACATTTGCTTGGACTTCATACATCTGAATTTGCCTTCCATTCAAGGGCTGTACTGGTCTTGCATTTCTCTTGCACCTCGAATCCAATGGAGCTCTCAAAGCTTCTACTTGCTCTCTTGATATTGATCTCACCTGCATTCACATTTTTTCCATCATTACATGAATACATTATTAGTGTAAATTAATTTGACAATGTGCACATGTAATTATTAAAAATTAGTTCTTCTTAACAACATCGGAAACAATCTCTCTGCCTTCCCAGGGTAGGGGTAAGACTGCGTACATCATACCCTCCACAGACCCAGTTGTGGGATTATACTGGGCGGTGGTTGATTGGTTAGTTCTTCTTAACTACGAACTATCTAGCTGTTCTTAATAACAACATACTCAGTGTGATCACAGAAGTAGGGTTTGGGAAGGATGGGGTGTATGTAGATCTTACCCTTACTTCATGTAAGGTAGAAGAGTTGTTTCCGATAGCCTATCTACCTTACACAATCTCATTAAAATATAATTTGTGTATTCTTACCTATAAAACTGTAACATGTTCAACCATCATGCCATTTCCTTGTGGTCTTGGTTCAACATTTTTCAATCAGTCCATATTTGATCTTATTCACTAATTCGGGTATGTTAAAAATAGCCATTTTTTATTCTTGTAATCATAAAATAGTCAGAGATTCAAAAGTTATTGAAAAACGGTCAATTTCTGAAATCCCATAAAAGTGTTACGGATTTCGAAAATCAGGACATTATCTTGAACTTTTTACTTGTTTAAGCTCGAAATTCATGACACTATCATGGTATTTCCGAATTAAAAGTGGCTACTTTTCAACCAATTTTTGGACACCGGCTATGTTAATAATCGATTCTAAAAGTGGCTAGTCCGTACAATCAGGCCTAAGATGTAGGGGCGGATCCAACGCATTATGTACGGGTTCACCAGAACATAATAGTTTTTGCTCATACTTTATATATATATATATATATTAAATATCTATACATATTAGACTACAGTGGCGGATCCAAGATTTTGTGCACGCGGGTTCAATCTTAAAAATACATAACTTTAGTCGTAAAATAATAATTGTCAAGTGGGTTCAAATAAAATATTTTTACAAAATTTATGCTGCTTTAATCGTAATTTATTCATATACACAGTATTATTTTTTGGTGAAGCGGGTTCAGCTGCACCACGTGCGTCCGCTACTGTTAAACTATATTTGAACCTAATTATCATTGTATATTAACTTGAGATCATTGTAAGTACCATATATAAACTTTAAATTCTAAATCTGTCTCTGCTAAGACGTGACACAATAATAACTTTGCTCATGTTACTAATTATTTACACTAACAAATGAAGCTCCAGTCTTTCAAGAAATAAAAAGAGAAAGGAAAATGTAGAAAGATAACTATACCTTGCCAAGGATGTGCCAAGAGACATTTTCAGAGCATGGAGGAGTAGTTAAAGAACCAGTATATGAGTAATATTTGTGTGTGTGTTTCCTTATTTCATGTGTGTCTATACTTCCCAGCTGAATCTGTGTTTCTTTCTGTGATGCCACGTCCCTTGCCAGCTCATTCAGTTTGTTTTGAAGCTAAACATAAATAGAAACAAACTCAACATATTAATCTTTTCTTTTTATTGTTTCCAATAGCATATATATTATTATGTATTTAAATATTTTAAACCATTAATTATTATGACTTATAATACTTTTAACATAATTTTTACTATATAAATTTTATTTTAAAAAATTTAACAATCCTGCATTCAAATAATAGTAGTCAAAATTATAAAATTTAAATCTCGAAAAATAAAAAGTATCACATAAATTAAAACAAATGAAATATTATATATGTTGTAGTACCTTGGTCATTAGGGGATCAGGATGGCCAATATGGAAGAGGGTTGCCAATACTGCTATACTATTATCTTCAGCAAAATGAACTAGATGAAGCTCCGCAGCATATCTGTAAAAACAATTTAACCTATTATTAAGATATATACTTCAGTCGACATATAATACTCCTTGAATTGCTATTGCACACACAAGACATCAAGCATCTTATTTTTTATATTTTATAAATTTAATTAGTGGTGTCGAGCCGTTTGACCTATAGGTCATATGTTCGGGCCGTGTAAGCAGCCACTAATGCTTACATTATGGTAGACTGTCTACATTATATTCTTTGGGTGCGGGACCGGTGATCCTTCTCTGGACCCTTTAATTAGTGGTGTCAAGGTCAAATTGTATGCGCCTTGACTATTCTACCGAATATTTACTACCTTTCACTAGTATATATATCGGATAACTCCGTCCACACTCAATTTTTTTTATCTTGATTGGGATTTTAACACCAATTTTCCAAATTTTTAACCACTTCATTAATCGTGAGGCCACACTCTTAATGCTTAATAACAAGAGAAAAAGTGCCTACTGAATCCCATCAAGTCGGTGTTCGGAAGGAGAATGCCAGTGCATTTGCTTCAAGTTGTAAGTTTTACCATCCACAACCAAAGTTCCTGCATTTTCCCCATATTTTATCTGCAACCATTGGTATCAATATCAGTCTCATAAGAAATTAGTAATAATGGAAAAAATTATCATGTCAATTATCCTAATAAGCACAAAAGATCAAAGATAGAAATAAAAGTAAAGAAAAACTAAAGAACATAGGGAAAAAAGTTCAAGGAAAAGAAGGGTAATTTCCTAATGAGACCTAAAAAAATGAACAAAAAGAAAAACAAGTTTCCTTTTTTGTTAGAGAAAAAGTGCTTTTAAATACTTATTTTTAAGCTAAAATGACAAAAACAAGGCAAAAGCCAAAAGTTAAAATTTCTAACTTATGACTTAAAAGTTATTTTGTCTTAAAAGTAATTTAAAATAAGGTTGTGCAAACAGGCTATTAGAAAACTAACCCCAACATTATAGCCATTATCAACCAAAGTAGCAACTTCAGAATGATTATATTGCATAATCAAGGGCTTCAAATTTTTGTTAATAACAAGATTAGCACTGTCAATATTTATTGGGGACTGAGATTTGCCAGTTGAGCAGGCCGAAAATGTTGGGTTCAACCTTCCCCAATTATTTGGGCCTATTGGGCCTGTGTAACCAAAATTGATTCTCAAAGCATCACCTAACCAAAAAAGAAAATTGTGTAAATTAATTAATACTAGAAGATTGCGCGACGGAAATGTTAAAAATAAAGCTCATATATTCTACGCAAAATACTAGTCCTTCGTCTTAATTTATGTGACATTGTTCGGATTTCGAGAATCAAACGAGTTTTTCATTGACCGTGAGCTTTTTCATATGATTTTTAAATATTTTTTGAATTGTTAAGTATTGTAACTTATAGTACTTATTACGTAGTTTTCAAATATGTAAATTTTATTTTAAAATATTTAAAGATTCTATGTCCGCATTCACAGTCAAAATTAAAAAGTTTAACTATCGAAAACCAAATTGTATCATATAAATTGGGACGACAGAGGGAGTAATTATGAAGAAATCAATAATCTTAATAGACCATGGTAGATTAATTATCAAAGAATGAGTATATATCAAAGATAAGGTGTCATTTAATTGTTTTTCAAGAATTGATTGGCCTTCATCTAAATTATGTACAATTCTTGGGGTCGCAGTATAAATGTTTTTGTCTAAATATTCTAAATATACAAGCAAAATTCTGTTATGGTAGAGGACAAAAACCTAAAGCAACGCTTTAGACAACTATGTCGTTTTGTTCTTTTAAAAGCATATCCTCATCACAAATTCGTCAAAGATTTTTCAACGATTAAAGCAAATAATAGTTTCCGAATAGGATGGTTTTATTACGTGTACTTCACTAATCTTTACTAAAATTTTAACAATACGGGAAATAGAAAGAAAAACAATCCTCAAGAAAATTAAGCACTTTATTTGATACTTTACTAGTTTAATAAAGCGGGGAAAAAACCCATTTTTATGAAGAATATATCCTACAAACTCTTTCTCCCTTGCTATCTCCTGAGTATTAAGAGTATCACTGTTAGCCTGTTTGATCAAGTTTCTCCAACGCCAAAACTAAAAAAATATTTTTTTATTTTTAAGTTGAAGTATTTATCTAAGTTTTTAAAAGAAAAAAAGTGTTTTTGATTAGTAGTAGAAGCAATTTTGGAGAAGCAGAAAAAGTAGCTGCTCCCCAAAAGCATTTTTTGAAAAACACTTTTGAGAAAAATACACTTAGAAGCATTTTTAAAAAGTTTGGCCAAATACACAATTGATGCTCAGAAATACTTTTCAAATTAACTAGTCAACAAATTATTTCTCACCAAAAGTACTTTTGAGAAAAAACACTTCTCAAAATAAACTGATTTTAGAAGTTTGGCCAAACGGGTTATATATATATATATCAAAAAGTGCAGTAAGACTTCTGTTTAAGAGCCGAGCTACATAGTCGTAAAGGGATTCAATTGAACCTCTTTTTACTTCAAAATTGTGCAAATATATAGGGCAAAAATGAATCTTTCTATGCATACAGATTGTTGAATACATAAGAAAAACTTTTAGTGTAATGATAATACATGTGGTTCAAAAATCAGTTTAAGTCAGAGTTCTGAAACTTTTAGTGAAGTGTATATTCTGGAGAGAAGACATGCATGCATATTGCATAAAGGGTTCAAGGAAGCACACATGAAAACCATCAAATATTAAAAACACAGAATACATTAAACGCCTCAAAAACTTGTCAAAAACTTTGATTTAAATACTTTAACTAAGGACCTGACCTATTGAACATTTCATCTACTACAAAAACAACAATAATATACTGTAGTACGATCTGGAAAAGGTATGCGGACCTTATTTTTATTTGGTGGAGTTAAAGAGACTATTTCCTATATACTCTCGACTCAAAAAAATATATTTTAAAGTAGGGTTAAAAAAGTGGCCATGTTGAAAGAAGTACAGTGAACTCTTATAGTAATATTTTTCTCTTCAAGAAAGAAGTACAGTGGACTTACCAGATGCAGTAGAGAATAGATTGAGCAGAAGAATTGCACATATATTGACCACCCAAACTAAAATTCCACCAACAGCAGCCATTGCTAATACAAAATTAAAAGACTTCTCTAAGATCAATTTCCTGAAAACCCAAAAACGAAGAATTTGAATGAAAAACCAAATCAAGAAAATTTTGTATGATTAAAGAGTTTTTTTGTAAGTTTCAAAGTGATTGCTTACAGAGTATGTCTGAGGCTAGAGATAACTCAATGTCTGTCCTTATTTATAAGCTCTACACAAACCTTTTACTATATCAGTAGTAGCCCATTATTTGCTTTTGCCTTTTTTGTTTGGAAATTCTTTTGTTTTTATTGAGGATATTATATTTCAACAAGTAAAAGCTTGACCTATTTTAACAAGTCATTTTAGAGTAGAATTTCTTGGATTATATCTTATCTTACTTTCGAAAACAACCTCTCTACCTTTATTGGGTAGGGTTAATGCTGCGTATACACTATTCTCCCAGACCCGTGGGTTTGCTGTTGTACTTGTATATCTTATCTGACTTAAATTACTCCATTTTTATCACCATTAACTAATTACATGATTATAGTTCGTTTCCTTCATCTCCTTCAACTAATAATAAATAAATAAATAATATGAAAAATCTTGGCGTAGCATGCAACATGGGCGAAGCTAGAAGACGGAAAGAGTTTCATCTGAAATCACTTTTTCGTAAAATTAGATGGTGTATATAAGGTCAAATCTGTTTTATGTATATATATTAGATATTAAATTCTCTTAGATTCTTCGTGTGTTTATTTTATTTATTTTTTAAATTTTTTTGGTAAAAATTCTGATATGCAATTGGCCAAACACCTAATATCACTTTGAAGAAGAGGGTCAACAAACCAATATTATCACAATCTTCAAGGGATTTTGTAAATTATTGAGAGGTGCATTTATCACTACTTGATTTGGAAATGTATATTAGAAGAAGGAATAAGAAATTTGTAAATTTCTGAGTTTTTATTTTTTTGGTAAATACAAGTATTGTTTTCTGAAAATTTGTTATCCATGACCCGTGACATTGAGCCAGTGAATTTTAAAACGGTATGTCTTTGGATAAAGAGAAATATTTTATTATTGTTACTGAGACAAACATTTCGAAAAAAATGTACATGTGATATCCCAATTGGCACTAATTAATATTGAATTTAATTTAAATATACTGATATTGTAAGAAATTTTTTCATATCAATATTTAACATGTAGCAAAACGTAACTTGCTTTATTTTTAAATTTACCAATCTCACTTTTAAGGACAATTACCAAATATGTAACCTTTTAGTATAAAATTTATTTATGTTGTCAATGTATAGACATTAAACTCATTAATAATTTGGTCGCCGACTTTCTTGGTTTACAAATACAACTAGAAAGAAAAAAAGGGAACGACGGAAAAGATGGATAAGGCGAGTGTTTTCGAAGAGAAAATCGTGAAGGAATATGATACGCGTATTATGATTTGAGTCTTGAAAATTATTTTAGAACTCAAAGGCCAAAAGAAAAATTAGTGGTTGCACCTTAAGAAAAGAAAGAAGAAGAAATAAGAAGGGTTAAGGAATTTGCCCTTTTGCCTTTTTTCTTTTAAAGTGGATAGTGACAACTACCTTCATCTTTGTTGCAGAAGCCACAAGTATCCACTATATAAAAAGTTGTGGCACATAGAAGACGTAAAAGGATTGGAATTGACAAGAAGAAATAGGCATCCAATTTCTTTTCTCATCGGAGAGGTTAATTTAATATTGGGCTAAATCAATGACATGATATTGTTCGCTTTAGGTTTTCAATCTTTTCAATTATCAATATGAGACTTTATTTGCATACCCAACAATCTTCCCGTCGAACTAAGTTCCATGTAGCCTATCACCACGATTCACGGGTCAATGTTTGAGATTTAGTGTGTCACCCACATTGTTAGAGTATTTGTGGCAAGCAAAGCCCGTAACTAGCTTTTTCTTGTGTGCGTGTCTCCAAGCTTGTAAGGGTAAGCAAACCGAGCCCCGCACCATCATCGTCATACTCGTTCCGCCGAACCTAGGCTATGATATCACTTGTATGGTTAAAACGGCCTAAAGTTGCTCTTAACATAGCGTAATATTGTCCGCTTTGGACCAAACCTGTACAGTTTCCCCCAAAAGGTCTCGCTATTAAGAAATCCCTACATCTTATATGTATGCCCCCAATCTTTTCAGTTACCAATGTAGAACCTTGTTCGCACACCCAACATTTAACTATTCATCATGATTTAAATTTTGCTTGATCTTTTTTTTTAATATCAAAATTAACTTTTCAATTGTTTTTTTAACAGTTTCACTTCTAAAACTACTAATATTACATACAATTAACTTAATATATTCTGTTATTGTGTTTTGCCAAATAGTGTCAAATAAAGATGGAGAGAGGGAGTACCAAATAATGTTTCTTTGAGAATCATATAGAACCTCCCTCGTGCTAGATCTATTTTTACTTACAGCAATGAATTACCAGTTCTTTTGTTGTTTATATGTTTTTAATTAAATATATTCTGTTTTTTTTCAGGAAAAAGTTAAGTGTGCGAAGAATCTAACCATTTCCCCCTCAGAATTTCTAAATTATAGTGCCAATTGGATAAGAAGGGTCCAAGATCTTCCAACTTGAATTTTGTTTTTGTGACAATTACAAATACAAATAATGCACCAACTAGAGATAGTTATAAGATATTATGTAGAGTTGGTCACGAGGATCCAAAGTTTCACATAAAATTCTTTTGGGTATATTGGACCTCATTTGTTTTTAAATGAGAAGGAAAATGGATCATAACCTAATTCGAACAAACTCGATCATAAACTTCAAGAATTAGCAAGTTTTAGTAAATAATTTGTTCACTCATTAATTCTTTTTCCCTTAAATAATGGTGGTGTACGGACTAACTTCTGCGTACAAAGTAGGGGTGAGTTATATATGCTTACAACCCACTCGTGAGATCACACCGACTATATTATTGTTACGTACTAACTTCTGCGCACCTCAATTATTAGATTAAGTACTTCCTCCGGTCCACTTTAATTGATTTTTGATCTTTTTTTGTGATTCACAATATTTAATTTTTTCATATATCAAGAAGGAATTAACTTCTTTTTCTCAAAGTTGCTCTTAGAGTAAAAAGCCTAGAAATATTTGTTGTATTTTCAATGAACATATTAAGGTTAATATAGTCAATTTAATTTATTAATTAATATTAAAAGTTGGATTTCTTAATATGTGTGATATAACAGTAAAAAAAAATCAATTAAAGTAGACCGGAGGAAGTACCTTCTATCTCCAACAAGCACAAGTTTCGAGTATATGTGTCCACTAAGTATAGGCAGAGGGAAAGAAATTATCTACTATATACATATTAAGTAATTCACCTTTCAACATTTAATAAATTTGACCATATTAAACTTAATTTGTTCATTGGAAATACAACAAAGACTCCTAGGCTCTTTACTCAAAGGATAACTTTATAAAAAATGAAGTTAATAACTTCTTGATATCTGAAAAAATCAAATATTGTGGACCGTAAAAAAAAGACCAAAAATCAATTAAAGTGGACGGAAAATAATCTCTTCGAAATTTGTACCGTAAGTTTTCACGTTTTCACTCACTACATAGACCGTTAGGCCACACTCTTAGGTGTAATTCACTGTGTTATTAAGTCGAGTACATCCACAACAACATTATTAGTATGTTATAAAAAAAAAAAGAAAGAACATTATTAGTATGTTATTAAGTCCGAGTTTTGGTTCTTAAAGGGGTTAAAACTTGTCTTCAGATGATTTTGTCAAGGCGACTGGACAAATCTTGAACGAGAAATAATCTAGGTTTCTGTAGCAGTTCATGGCCACAAATATTTCTATCTCAGCTGAAAGCCTGAAATTGACAACGAAAAGTTAGAACTGTGGGAGATGATGAAATCATAAGCCACTTCTTTATAGATAGGCTGACGGCACCAAGCATAAAAAAAATAAGAGACGTAACGTGCACCTAGAGGCTAATAGAATTCAATATATATTATATATGGAGTATATACATAAAAAAAAAAAAACTAATTTTGAGCGTGTATATATATATATATATATATATAATATAACTTTTTCGACGAAGGGGTTTAAAACCTCTTTACACCCCTTAATTCTGCTCCTGAAAGGCATGTCAATTAATTTTGGCCCGAATTATATATAGAATTTAAAATATTTCAAAACATATAATGTATTAGATCTACACCATTGTTACAAAGAAATAGACAGTGCAATGGTGCTCCACTCGAAGATTTTGAATCCCGGATTTGCTAACTTTCTAGAATAATCAATCTAGTATATTATCAACCAGAGATGCTACCACTCAATAGCTGAAACAATATTAAACACCCATTCCATATAAGAAACCAAAGCAAATAAAGAACCAGTTGAGCACAATATTTGGATTTTACCAAAAATATTACTGAGAAGGGGAGTTTGGGCGTAACTGGTAAAGTTGTTGCCATGTGACCAGGAGGTCACGGTTTCAAACCGCGGAAACAGCCTCTTGCAAAAATACAGGATAAGGCTGCGTACAATAGACTCTTGTGGTTCGGCCCTTCCCTGGACCCGCGCATAGCGGGAGCTTAGTGCACCGGGTTGCCCATTTTTTACCAAAGTTATTATTGAATTATATGTATGTTGCGTACAATAGACCCTTGTGGTCCGGCCCTTCCCCGGACCCGCACATAGCGGGAGCTTAGTGCACCGAGTTGCCCATTTTTTACCAAAGTTATTATTGAATTATATGCATGTTGCAGTGGATTTCAGCATTGTTCACTCCACTGTTACTAGAAAGCTAAAATTAACTCAAACAAGATGCAATATATATTGCCATAGACACTTTTCGACCATTATTAATTTTTCTTTTTTTTAATTCTACTGTATCAATAAAAAAATATATCTAAAAGTTCTGGAGAACAAATGCAAGAAACTCAAAGTGACTAAGAGAATCCTAGAACAAACAAGAATAGAACAAAGTGTTGACAATGGTATCAGCTTGATCAGTAAGAAAGCAAAATGTAGGACCAGAAGGATTCAAAATGAGCATAAAAGTGCAAGCACTAAAAGCCACATTCTTAATCTTATAGCTACTCAAAGTGCAAGAACCATATCTTACCAAAAGATCACCATGCTTCAAAGTATAATACAG